GGGTGCTCCGCGCGGCCCCCCGGGGGCGCCCCCCGCTGCGGGCGTCGAGGGGCGGGCGGGAAGGCCAGCGGCCCCCTCAGCGGTGGTCAGCCCGCCTCTCGCCCCCTCACGGCCGAGGCAGATTTCCAGCCCGCGGTGGGAGAGGAGTGCCCGCCGTGGGTCTGCCCCCGCGTCCCGTCCACCCCGTTGCCACCAGCTTCACGAAATCGCCTCGCGAACGCGCAAACCCTTGTTCCTCAGCTCCGAGAAACCCCGGCGGGTGCCACGCTGAGCCCGGGTGGAGAGCGGGAGGCTGCGGGTGGTGGTGTCATCCCTCCCTGTTTTTTTGGGGGGGGGGGGGGGGAAGGCTTGTTCCTGAATATTTCAAATGTTCATTGGGCAAGAATTGAAGTGCAAGAAAGTAAATTGCTTTTCTTCCTCACGCTAAGTTGAAATTTGGCCTAGACGGTGACTGTGCTCTCTAGGCATGGTATTCCACTGCTCATTGCTCCTTGTTGAGGCTAGGAGGGGGCTCCCTTGAGCAAGAAAAACTATGTAGTTGTGGTGTCTTTTCCCCTTGGAATGAAAATGTTTTGGGTTGGGTTTTTCACCTTCATATTCCTTGAGGTGTCTTTAAGATAACTTCTCTTTTTATTCCTTTTCCTTTTATTCCTTTGGTTTTATTCAAATACAGGTTTTCCATGCAGAATGAACGGAGCAGCGGTAAAAAGGAAATCTGTTTTAAATTTAAAGGAGTAAAATGAATATTGGAGTTTATATAGAGTATGAACATGCACACACCAGAGTTCACGAAAATAGAAGTTGGAGCTTAACTTTAAGGACAGAAACAAAATATTGTGTCTCTTCTAAAACTATTTAAATTTCAGGCTAACTATGTAATTACAGAAATGGGTAAATGATCTCAGTACTCTGGCTTCTTAACATAGATACAGATCTTTTTTCAATAGTGGTGTTAAAATACACTGAACTTGTAGAAAATGGACCCTTGCTCCTTGTTTTCTTTTACATTTTTCCTTTCAGGTACCTTATCAACTTCTTGTTAGATGCCACATTAGGAATGCTCTTAATCTACATTGGTATACGTGCAGTCAGCAGCATTGTGGAATGGCAGCAGTGGGAGTCCCTTCGCTTTGGTGAATATGGTAAATGTTTCTGTTCTTGCACTGAAATGATGTTCAGGATAGAATCTCAGAATATTTCAGCTAGTGGTTAACTCATCTTAAAACCATTATACAATGATTATAGTGGTCATTTTAATATTTCACTTGTCACAAGGGCTCTTTTAAGTTCTGTATCTTGGCATGCACCTTCTGTGTTAGAAAGCTCAACAAGTTTCTGATCATTTAGTGAGTTTGGAAAAACTGCTTAAACATTTATTTTTTTAGGAGTGATTGAACAAATTACGATATTGGCTGATCTCATGGAAAAATACCAGCATGATAAATTTACTCTGAAACACTTCTAAATAAATGGTAGCTGGAAGGTCATTTCCTATTAAAGCTTTCACTGAACCACATGCCGTTGTCTGAAGATACAGGCTAAGAGTTCTGCCAGCCCTCTGTAAAGTAAACAACCACATGCTTTCAGTGAAGAGAATGGCAAGATGGCCTGTGCTTGTCCTCAGGTAATGATCACTCGAACTCCTGCACGTAGGGCTTTTATCATTGAGGATAAACTTTGTCCAGGCTAAGGGATAGACTAGTGAAATCACTTTCATGTGAAGTTGTGGGTTTTAGTTTCCATTACGTTTGCCACAGAAGTCCACTGATCTGCAGAGACTGTGGATTTGCAGATGCAGTTGAGTAGCATACATACTCAACATCAACATTTAATTCTGTTCAACCTGTTATTTTCAGGTTGCTTAGTCTGGCTGGCTGGGAATGGAGGTGCTATATAGATGCGAAAAATTACATTTGAAGCTCTTTGAGACAGGAATGGGAGGAGAGGTTGCCTTATAAGAGAACTATGGCTCTTCATCAGAGAGAAATACAGACAAACAGAAAACCCCCCATGCTTTGGGGAAAAAAAGTTAAAATAATGTTTGCCTAACAAAGTAGAAGCTTTCATAGCAGTTTTATAATTATCATTGGTAGGTTTTTTGCATTTGTAGGTTTCTGTTTTTAATGATCTTAAGTGGCTGATAGAATTAAGAATAAATAAATAAAGGCCTTGCCAAGTTGAAATACTTTAAAAGCTTGGGAAGTTTACAATTAAATCAAGTAACATTAATTGCAATTTGCTTTAATGTCAGAGGTTTAAAATAGAGATGATGACAAGCATCTATCTTAGGAGAAATAACTGCCTATACTATTAGGGCATTTTTTATTAGTTTTATGTAAATGTAATGTGTATCTTTTACAGTACAGTTTATGACCATTTAAGCTGTTTAAATGAGCACTGCCACAACCCTGCTTATCTGCTTTTTTCCCTGCGTGCCACAGTCCAATATTTCCACTCTTTTCCTTGGACTGGTATACGTCTGACTCTTCAGGGAACTGATTCGGAGAGCTAAACTATCAGAAAATTCACCATATGTAGAAAAGTAAATAGTTCCTCCAGATCAGTCCCCAGACTTGGGTCTCTAAGGGATTAGGTAAGCACCAATGCCCAGGGAAGGGAAAAGGGCAAGGAAAGAGCTGAGACGTTGCTGAGCTCCATCTTCTGACTGAGCTTTGAGACCTATTGCCCAAAGTCCCTTTTTCTGATTGTTGATTTGGCTTGAAGCCATTTAAAGATGTTTGAACAGCTTTCAGCCCATATAAAATCGGCTTTCCATTCAGAGCAAAAAAACCTGGTGTATCTGCTACAATTATAGGTAGGTACTTGTAATCATGTCAAATTAGGAAGACATAAAATCTAGTATAGCATTCTGTTTTTTCTTGTGTAATCTGTTCTCCTCTCCCATTTTAATGTTCTTTTAACAATAAGCGGTCTATGTGGATGGGAAGATGTGGGGAGTATATTCACTCTCCTGAAATTTCTCTCTCTTATTGACTTCCAAAATGAACCTGTTTTTATTTTAGTTAGTTACGAGGCATCTGTGACTGCAGTAACTAAGCTCTTAAAATCAACAAAAGAACTTGTTACTTGTGTTCTGCTGCGGAGGTGGTCTGCGACTGATCCATTATTGTCATTTTGAATTAGGAGATCTGAAATGCCTAAACTTGTTTCTCAAGTATTTTTTCTGTGTGTATGTGTGTATAAGTGATGTGTGAAGTTATGTAAGTCCTCTTTACTTAGTTATTCTTTCCAATATCAGACCATTTTATTAGTGACTAACTTTCTTTTCTGTATCTTCATTAATGTGCTGTCCTGACCTTAGTGTGTTGGTTTTTTAATCAAGATCAAGCTGTCGTAAGGACCGTTAAAAAGCATATTGTAAATCTGTGTTTCCATTAATCATGTGGGAGAGGCTTCTGGTATAAAGAGAAGTAGACAGCAGATGAAACTTATTAGTAAAGGCTGTGCAGTAAGTTTAGACCCTATGTAAGAAATCTGTCTAAAAAGGACAAGATGCATTGGATTGTTTGCTGCCTTCTTCTGTTAAGTACTGCTGTTGTTTCTGAAGTGAAATCCCTCATATCACCATTTTATTTAAAATTTTTCACTTTGGCCCCCCAAAAATTGTCTTATTTTTCATAAGATTCTTTAACATAATTAAATGAAGTAGGGTAGAAGAGGGTACTAAAATTGCAACTGTGTTTAGACTTAGTATTTTGAAGTTACATATGGATGTTTAGCATACATGGGTGGTGAGGTGTCTGTTCATTGAAAAGTATCAGAGACTTTTGGCATTTTATCTGTAGTAGTAAAGTCAAGTCCTCAGCTTGGAGATCAGTGAGATTTCAGTTTGTTTGCAAGTGTGGGAAAACAAACAAGAGACCTCCCCCCAACAAGTCTCTTCTTGTGATTGAGCGATGTTGTTTGTATTTCTAGAACCTAAATAATCATTTGTCTCAAGTTCATTCTCACTGTGAGCTCATTTCCCTTCTTAGCTCTATTACTTGATCCCTGGTGATTCACTACTTGAAGCTGTCACAAAAATAGCAGTGTCCTGCTGGTTTTAAAAGCCTCTTCTTTATATGGAGGATAATTTTTAAGCATAAATGCCTTAAGGAAAGAATGGATACCAAAATATCAGCATTCATAAATGGTTGTGGTTTGTACAGCAAAACAGCACTGCATGCTGGTTTTCGAACAAAGTAGCATGACGCTTCCTCAAGGGCTTTTTTATGTCAGAATTTTTAAGTTTATTAGATTTGTCTTCATATTTCCAGTTTTATATTTTCAGATTCATTACCTCAGCAGCTGGATTTTAATAGAAGTGCAGAATCAGTTAATATATTTGAGTATGTAAAGAGGAGAAAAGCAGTCATGATCTGTACCGAAAAGAATGTTCCCTGTGTTCTCCTTCCCTTCTTGTCTTAGGCTACTTTAGCTGCTGCAAGTAGAAAACAGGTGACTAAATCCCTCTTGGTGACAATGAACTCTATTGGCAACTAAATCATGCTGTGTTCTCTTTGCTTCTCAGATGGCAAAGCTTAGAAATTGTATTTGGTGCATCTTTTCCCTCTAGCTCTTTGTTTGCAACTTGCAGAGCAACTTATAGCCATATAGGGTAGATAGCACTTACTTTAAAACTTTTTAAAATTTATTTTGGAGTAGTTCTGTGAGTTGGCATTTTCTTAAGAAAATTTCTCAGGATTTGAAGAACAGAGGGAAGTTACAGGACAGAGGAATCACAGGTATTTTGTGCAAGAGCTGTTTATAAACGTGCTTCTACAAAGTGGCTGATGAAAGTAGTATACACTAGTATAGACTAGTTTTTCATTGCCCAGCATTTTCAAAAAATGCTGCTACAGTTGTCACTGCTGAGGATTCAAAATTTTTCAATTTCAGTCTTAATGTGCTTTTCTTGCAGTAACAAGATTTCTACTGATTTGCCAGTTTATTCTAGACATGTAATTCGTACAGGACAGGTATAAAATCAGAATTTGAGAGAGACTGTCAGACACTTTAGAAATTAAATTAGAGCTTTATGGCTTCAACGTTAACTGTAAAGTTCTAATTTGAGTTTGTGTACTGAATCTTTGAATGTACAAATGTCCCAAATATTCTTGGGAACACTTCCTGGATGTAGTGATATTAACTTCTACTTTTTCTCTTAAATTGCATAGTTTATAAAACTAGAAAAAATTTGGTTGGAAAGGATCTCCAGAGGTGATATAATCCAACCTCTTGCTTAAAGCAGCATTAACTTCAAAGCTAAAGCAGGTTGTTCAGGACGTGGTCCAGACCAGTTTTTAATTTATCCATGGTTTGAGATTTCAGAATCCCTCTGAACAACCTCCTCCAGTGCTTAACAACTCTCATTGTGAAAGCTTTTTTCCGTTATGTCATAACTGTATGTTCGCCCATCCAGTCTTTATCTTCCCAAGTTTTCTACAAGGATGCTATTGGGAAACTGTCAAAAGACTTGGTAAATTCTAAGTAGACAGCATCCTTGTTCTCCCCACTTGTAATTAGAGCTGAGAGATAATTTTGTAGATGCAGTAGGGCACACAAAAATCCTCAAGTAGAATTTAATGTACATAACTTCCAATTTCAGTCAGGTACAAAAAAAAAAAACAAAACAAACAGTGCCCCATCCCTGCAAAACATCATGGAACAAAACGTTCAGCGGTGACAGTGCACAATTAATATTAATACAGAGTTTCACAATTTTTGGACGTACAAAATCTCATGTGACAGAATAGTTGCAAAATTGCTATAGCTGTCTTTGCTTTTAGGAATTAAATACAGATTGGAAAAAAGCTTGGAATAAACTGGTAAAGTTTCAATGGTAAGTCTGTAGGTAAAGCTAGATTTTTTTTTTTTTTCATATTTGCTAGCTAATGAAGAAAACTAGAGAATGCTAATAAAAATGTGGAGTATAGAAATTAATTGCTAAAATTTAATTCTCAAATTTAATTCAGGCCTTTGTGTCTTCAGAAGAATCACAGTTGCTCAACTTCAAATTACTGGTGTTTCCCCTTTCAAATTTTCTAACTTTTTTTTTTTTTACAACAGAAGCCATGAACTGCAGCATATATGTATAAGTTGTAAAACTTGAGCATTTTAACCTTTTTCCTCTTGGACTATTGAGTGTTGATCACTAGCTCTTACTGTAAAACTCATCTAGGGAGTTTTCTTTGTTTTAGACTCTAATCTGATTTATCAATTTCTCTTCGTAGTATTTAAGCAGCAAACAGTAAGTCTCAAGGCTATTACCAAGTATTAATACTGAAAGCCTTTCAGAAATGTTCCAGAAAAGGAAGTAGCAACTATCCATTACGCATTACAAATACATAAAGGCATCTGAATTTCCATTGCCCATTATTCATCCCCAGGCTAAAAGTTTTAAACTGCCTTTGAAAATGTTGCAGAAGACTATCGTGAAGACTAAAGAGCTAACACCCCCCTCCAAAGCTTCCTTTTGGTTTCCAGTGAAGTGCTGCTTTAAGCTTACCTGCAAAGCTTGTTAGGCATGCCAGTCCTCTTCCACCCCACCCCACCCCACCCCCCTTGCTTTCATAGAGTATAATAGTCTACATAAGTTTTTGTGTTCAGATATTTGTGGTCTTCATTCTGTCCTGGCAGATAACTTAATGCACTCAGGTTTTCACTCTGCCACAATGGGGTGCAGCAGAATTTCAAAAGCTTTCAGATTAAAACTAAAATGTGATCTCAATATTTTGTTCAATTAAATTTTTCATAGCAGCTCTTGAACCTGTTGCTTCAATTATGATTGGTTAGTTATGGTAACTAACTTTGTAGAGAGGAAAAATATGTTTAAGGTAGCTTAGGGAAAATAGCAGAAATCATCACGTTTCTACTTAGACTGAAGGGAAAGATGTTTTTCCCCAGGTATGTTTCCGTTAAGTTTTCCCTTTTAAGAAACTTAGTACTTCATGGTGGAGGGTCAAAAATAACAATTTGATGAGAAACAAATGTAATGCAACTATACCTGTCTTGCTTTCATCAGACTCTGTAAAACAGTGAGCATATAACCAGGTACTGCTGAATTGGATAAAGTCCTATTATATTCAGTTTCTAAACTGATAATTTTTGAAAGCCGGGGTGAGGCTGAGACGGGGGGAAGGAGCAGCACTAAGGAAATTGGAGATGGCACTTTAAGAGGATATAGCTGCCCTGCCTCTGCTAATACTGCTTTTCTAAAATGTTTACTGTGAAGTAAAATCAACCCTATGCATATATTGAACCTTTCTTCTTTCTTGCAGGTGACCCAGTGCAGTGCTGTGCTTGGATGGGCCAATGTGCTCTGTACATAATGATTATGACATTTGAGAAAACCATCATCATTATAGTGCTTCTTATACCTCAGTGGAAAGAGGTTTGTATTTTTACAGCATTTTACAGAGAAATGAATTGCAGGTGGAAGCTGTAAACCAATAGGCTTCTAATAGTATTTATTGGTTTGGCTCAAGCATCATAATTGTCTACAGTCAATGCCGTTTAACTATCTAGTAGTGGTATGTTCTTTTAGCTTGATTAGGATACTGCTAATTAGGCTTTCTGGCATCCATTGCCGGGAGTATCCTATCATATTTTGGAGGGTTTTTTATACAATACAATATATAAAATTTTATTCTATCTCCTTGTCTGAGTGCTCTTGAAGCTACTAAGTGGTTCTTCCTTTTCTTAATTCTTCAACCCTTACTTAAAGCTGTTTTGTATTGCTTCTTGTAGTATTTTAAAGAATTTTCTTTGCCTGACCTTGTTGATAGATCTAAACTGTAGAATTTTAGTAATTTGCAATGGATTAGTGAAGCCATTGCTGATGACTGGATAAATATTTATTTTGATAGAATGTGTGCAGCATAATTTTCAAAGTAATGGTGCATGGTGTTATGGTCCATTAAAACCACTTAGTCCCGACTTTATGCTCTGGACTACTTTGGGAACTCAGTCTTCTCCTTGCTGTGTATTTTGTGAAATGCTGGTCTGTTTAAAATTCCTGAAGATGGAACTTATGTTCCTGGGGAGCATGGAGCTCTAAAATGTTCAAGATTATTCTAACACAGCTCTTCAGACTTCTGTAAACAAAAATGACAGAGATAAGTTTCTTGCCAGCCCCACTTACTTATCTATGGTAATTTATAAGTTGCCCTAAGTACTTTCCTTTTCTACAAAGCTGTCCTTTTTTGGTTCATATGAATTATTTCTGTACTGTCAGCTAGTACATGAACAATTGCACTTACTAATCAAGTTATGTCCACATGTTGCCATGATCTGAACTTAATCCTTTTCTTTTCACAGGTAGCTTTATTGAATCCCATAGAGAACCCCCAGTTGGAGCTGGCTATCGTCATGCTGATAGTTCCCTTCTTTGTTAACGTTAGTACAACTTTCACGCTTCTGTGAGATATTTACTTGGATATCTTTCTGCCTGTGTTAATTAATTAACGTTAGTCCATAAAGCAAAGTGTACCTTGGTGCTTAAGTTAATTTTTAAAGAGGAAGGGTGTTGAAGAATGGATAAAATGTCTGGATAGGTAGATTTTACAAAGCTGAAATCCATATTGAGCTAAGTAGCTCAGGAGAGGTACAGAAATGCTTCATAGACCCGTTTGGGCTGATGACTTCAGTAGATTGAATGTAATACTGAAATACTGACAGGGAGATTACAAAATTGCAATGAAATTTGCTTTAGGAAACAGTTGGTCTAAGGATAGCTGTACTGTGAAGTATCCTGTGTCTGACCATAGCTAATAGCGGCTGGCCTGTGATGGAGCGGAAGAAAAGGGCAAGTGCACAATCATCCTTCCCAAAGTATACTCCTGAAGTAATCTGGGATTTAGGGACTAGAGCTAAAGATGATGGGCATCCTTGTATTTAATAACTACTGGTGATTTTTTTTTTTTCTTTTATTAATTTGTTCAAGCATGGATTTTATCCTTGTCTGTACTAAGATGTCTGCCTAAACCGTTCACATTTCTACATGAAGAATTAATATATGATCACTCTGAATAGCAGCTACTTTTCTTATTTTTTTTGTCTTCTACAAAGGAATAAAGTACCTATGTTCTAGAGCATTCGTGCAATGTGTAATAAGCTATGTGACTGTATGCCTATACAAGATTTTACCTGTTTGGCCAATTCAGAATTATTGTCAAGTTTTCCTAATTCTGTCCAAATACTGATCAAATGAATATATGCTACTCTGAGGAACACTGAACCATCACTTCCCCCTTTTCTTTAACAGGCATTAATGTTCTGGGTAGTAGATAATTTTCTTATGAAGAAAGGGAAGACAAAAGCTAAACTTGAAGAAAAGGAAGCAGGACAAGATTCAAGAAATGGAAGTAAAGTCCGATACAGGAGAGCAGCATCACATGAAGAGTCAGAGTCAGAGGTATGTAGAGTTAATTATTGCAATTAATGCAATATCAATCCAGTTCATCACTCATGCCATTGATTTAATTGTAACACCGTCAGCTTAGTTTTGATTTTCTTTGCATGTACCTCTAACAGTAGTTCCTAGCGTTTGCAGTTGAAAACCAGTTTCAAAAAAATGGCATTGTTGCACCACTCATGGTAGTTAATTTCCTTCCAGATGGGCAGGAAGACAGAATAATGTATTTAAATATCGCAGGTGAACTGTGTTACAAGTGCTTCTTAAAAAACCCACATGGAATACGAAACTAATAGACAATTCTAATTCAGAGAGGTTAATAGCTTAAAGTGGGAGGAAGCTGGTGGAGGCAAGTGGCCTGATTTTGGAGAAGTATTTACATCCTTGCCTTAGCATAATTTTATTCTAAATTATATTAAATGGGCAGTTTTCAGTTCACCTGAAGGGTGGATGGTATCTTTGAAGGTAAGTTGTTTTAGCTTTAGTTGATTAATGTAACTTTTCTGCATTACAGACAGTACTATTTATATGGGGGTTTATTTAATATTACCAGTGTGGATAGAGAGCTTATATATTCTCATCTTAACAGCAAGGCACCCCCCACTGTTCTGGAGGTGCTGGAATCAATTCTTTGGGTATACAGTCAGTGATTGTAGTGGAGATCAATACACGTGCATCCTTCTTCGAAATTTACTGGAGGTTCCAGATAGGATGTGTGACATCGTTTGATAGTACTGGCAGTAAATCCAAATTATGTTCTGTAAGCTCTTTCTTGAGCAAATAATAAGGTGCTTTGCAAGCATAAAAAAGTAAAAGGTTAGAAATAGAATGAAGAAAGAATGTGACTTTGATTCCATGTTACTCAGAAGCCGCAATTTTTTTTTTTAGATCCTTATTTCAGCAGATGATGAGATGGAGGAATCGGACGCTGAAGAGGACCTGCGTAGACTGACCAACTTAAAGCCCATTAAGAAGAAGAAGCATCGTTTTGGTCTGCCTGTATGACACGTTCCCTGACCTGTGTATTTGCAGGTTTCACGGCAAAAACTTCAGTCAGTGGGTTTTAATGTTGCAATTGCATCTCCCTGTCCGTACGAACTGACTAAAAAGCAAGGTCTGCCAACAGAATGCAAATGGTTGGAAGACTTCCAGTTCAGATGCACTACAGACACACTGACCAATTATGCAAGAATGTCTTTTCATCATGTGTGAAAAACACAGCGTTGTTAAGGACTAGTCGCTAAGGGGATTTGTATCTGGCATTTCAGAAGAAGATCATAGAAAATAGATACAGCAATCCTTCACTTATGGTTACTGATGATACAGTTTAAGATGTTCTCAAAAAGGCATCAGAATCAACTAAGTTAAAGGAGGGTGGTTTATTACTAAAACTGGCTTTTGCAGCATAATTCCTAGAGCAGAATAGTTCATGGTTACAAGCTGTAACTTAACGTTATTTTTTTAAGTACAAATGTTTACTTGCTACCGGGTACCTATGGAACTAATAGGTAGAACAAAGATTTTTTTCCAAGTCTCCTCAAATCTATTTGACTATTTTATATTTAAGTTATATTTTCATACAGTTGTATTTAAAGATTCTCTTTGTCAGAGAAAAAGGGTGCAGTTCCCTTTTTTTTGTGCAGAACAGGTCAAAAGAATTGTAGTGAAAATCTTATTTATCCTCGTGTCCTGGTTTAAGACAAAGGGATTGCAAAGGGAAAAGCTCTCTGTCACTGCTGAAGTCACCAAATATTACTAAAAATGCAGTCCTAAGTGTGCTTTTGACCACATAATTTGAAAATACCTTTTTTAGTAGGAGGTGGTGTTTGCATATTTGACAAATGTGCACTTTAGTGTATAACAAAAATCTGTTGTGATAGGTTGTTTGTGATATGAGTATCTATGGATGACTCTAATTATTCCTGTTTCTGCAAGTCTCTTGTGCATACCTCTCAAATGACCCAAAAGAGATGGAACATTTCTTATACTTTTCCTTATATAGGGCCTGCAGTACAGGACCATGATCTGATTGAAGCAGTTGTGCTACAATATTGCAAATAATTCTGTCCCTTGTTTTTTGTTGGAGAAGCAATCTTCTGTTTAATGTGCTTTAAAAAAAATGTTTCTTCTGTTTAATTTCCATGAATTCTGGTTATCCTTTAGTATTAAAAAAAAAAAAAAAGCCCCAAGAGGTATAATACAGTTGTTACTACAGAATTTTTGTGATTTTCATTTTCTTGTCTTCTGATAATTGACAACACGTGCTGATCTGAAACCTAGCAGACATGTTTTCAGTGACATCCTTTTGCTTTACATGTTTTCTAAATGATTGTTTCCGACAGCTTTCCTTGCTTAGTTAAACCTTGTGCAGGACAAGGCGACATGTCAAAGAGGTGACAGCAGACCTTAATTGCAAATCTGTTGTAGTATCTGAACATCAGAAATGTTCCAAGCCTTAAACCAAACAGTTTCATCAGAAAACTGCTCAGAACTTTTTAAGATTTTTTACATTTTTTATAGATTTACTAGGTCTTAATGTGATTTATTATCCAGACCACTTAAATGGGGTTCTTGGGCCTTAGTAAATACTGAACTGTGCGCTCCCGTACTTATTTTCACTATTCCAGCATTCCTTTTCACTGCTTGGCTGCTGAGGTGAACACAATGTTCTGAGACTTCAGGTACGCCTCGGTGTGTCCAGCCGGCTAGAAGGGACATTTTACCAAACCTAATGTTTGCGAGTTGAGTTGAGCCACTGACCTCTGTTACTGTGCACTGAAATGTAATAACTGCAATAAGTTTAGGTACTAGTGTTTCTTTTAGACAAAATCTAGAAACTAATGACAATGGAAGCTTAATTGAGTTATTCTGAAATGGGGGGTGGGGGGATGGGGAAATGTCCCTAATCAGTGTGGCCTCTGGTTTAGTTTTTTGGGGTTTTTTTCATTGATTGTGTGACTTGCATCTTCTCTTGACTATTTACCACTGAGCGGGTGCATATCTCCAAAAGCACAGTACTTCAAGGAATTCATTTTCATCAACAGAATAGTCTCATACAGACCACTTTTCCAAAGGGATTTAAGAGCTAGGACTGGTTCTTGTCGCAAATGTCAGCATTTATTTTTTTAGCGTAGGATTTGTTCTATTTCAGATAATGAAATAAAGCTATTCAACATGTGCTACATACCACTGCACAGCCATCACTATCCTCGTCAACCATCAGAGATAACTGAGCAGCGCACACAAATTTAACTGTATGAGCTTTCATTTTATCTTCCTTTTCCCTCCTTTTCTCCAGTTACTTAAATTATCAAAATTATTTCTAATTCTAGTCTCATGTTTAGTCTGTGAAGTGTCAGTATAAAATTATGGCCTTAATCATGTAAAACATTCATTTTGAGCAGACCTCAAACTTACTGACCAAGTACAACACAGTATAAAGCACTACGGAGCCGTTTCTTGAAGATGGTTATAGCAAAGGTACATGAAAGCCTAATTTTTCCTGTCTTAAGTGCTTAAATGTCCCTTGGTTTGAGATTTTGATATGCCTAGCAAGATGATGTAGTAAAGCACTATGAGCCAAAGAGACAGAAGTATTTTAAATACTACAGTAGTAACAGGAAGAGCATATCTTGAGAGTGGAAAAAACAGCTCTAACTTTCTCTACTAAGATAAAAATTTTATTTGCAACCTTAGCCAAATAACAAAATTATTTTCTATTCATTCTTTGTTATCATGTGAAAGAGATGGAAAATGTAAAATTGGCAGTTTTCCTCTTTGTAAGATAAAAATTTGAGTTTTTGCAGTAGGTACAAGTAGAAGTGCTTTTGCCTGAAGAGCTCGTATGTGTGAGAAGGAGGTACGTGCCTAGTGCTTCACTATGTCTTACTGTTTGTTGAAATGTATTGGCAGTACAGTCTGAAAGCAATTTTTCATAGAGTTGATCCAGTAATAATATTACAACATGACGACGTTTGCATTATCCTCAAATTAACACTCTAAATTTATGTCTGGTAAATGTACTTCAGGACAACTCATAGCAAAAGTTTAATTCAGGCTGTGCTTAAAAAAATGTGATTCTGTTTAATGAAAATAAGCTATGTAGTATACGCCAAAGTAAGAGAAAGGGATTGTAACTGACAGAAGAGAGACAGAAGTATTGGTGGAGATCGAATTTACCACAAATGGTCAACCTAAATGTATTAACTGTTTCTAGTATCTGACCTGTGACACATCTGCATAAATTTAAAACACTGGTGTTGTCTAATATGTGGTTTTCAAGTTCTGGCTTTAATATGTTCAGGTCCCCTTGTCTTACTTTAAGTAGGTAAACGCTGTATGTTAATGTTGCTAACTAAAAAGTTCTATAGCTTTTCTTCAGGGAAAACTCAGAAATTGAGTTGCAAATTAGAGCAATGCAAAGTGATCCCCTCCAGCAGGTGTCTGCTCCGATTCCAGCTGTGCCTGGGGAGGGAGGCGTGGGCTCTCGCGCTCTGCTGAGAGCTGAGCATCACAAGGAATTTCTGCCACTGTGCTTAACTAACCCATGTTTGCAACTTTGCTGTGCTTTTTACAGGAGAAACCAGTAATGAAAGCGAATAAATTCAGCCACATCAAGTCAGAGTAGATCTACAGCATAGGCGTGCAAACTTTTTTAGGTAAAGTTTCCAGTCCAGTTACTGAAAATGACTACTATGGTTTTACAAAGTAAAACTGCGGTATCTTTAAAAAAGGGACTCTTTTGTAGGTGTGTTTGTCTTGTGTGGGTATCCGTCTCAAACTGAATGTTGGGTTTGTTTGTAAGCAAATTCAGAGTATAGCCTATGTGAGCAAAACCAACAGCTGTATTCTGCTGCCCTCTGTTTGGACCATATTGTTTAATCAGTGGTGTTAAACCTTAAACTTTTAAGGGTATCTGATGTAATTACATTGTATAATCGTTTACAATAAAGTTTGACTTATTACAGATTTGTACACTTGTTGTATACTTGTTCTGTTTAAAAGAGTGTGTGTTTCAGTGTTTAGAATGTGCTGTTGTGGGAAGCAGGGTTTGCTACTGGAGTTTAAATTCAGAACTGCAGATCTAATTTTCTGCACTCTCATGTTGGTATCAATTTCAATATATTCATTTACCTTAATAGCAAGGCCCGTTTCAGTTGGAGGGCCCACTATTAAGTAGCAAATTCTGGTTACGGCTGTAAGAATCCTTGCAAGCTCCTCTTGGATCTGTTCCCTGAGGAGGGTTTTTGCCCTCTGCACGTGCACACATGGAGAATAACCATCTCTGTTTTCATATTGAAAATAAAACCTTCGATGCGCAACCTGAGAACTCCTGAGATTGCAGAACATTGACCTGAGGCCCTCTGGAGTGTAGGATGTTGTTAAAACGCTTTAATCACACGGCTGATTATCACAGCCTGCTTTTGGCTTTTCAAGCAAAGCCAGACCTTTTGGTCATTCGCAACGTGAATGTGTAAACTTAAAAATTTCTGAATTTACCTCAAACGTCCTGCCCCTTGGCAGACGCATGGCCTAATTCAATAACTTGTTAACCTGTTTTATCTTCTGTTCCCCTTCTGATTTGTTTGCAGCAGGTAGTAGAAATGCAAGCTGAGGGGAGATGTCTGAGGATCCTGTTGAGAAGTTTGCTCGTGCAGTGCCTTGTGCCACAGAACTCATATATACCTCCTCAGAGACAGAAAAGGGCCATGTGGGAATGTCAGGTTCTAGGACCAAGTAGCCTCTCTGTCCCTGTCTCCAGAGGCCAATATGCTGGAAATGACCAATGGCTTCTTTGCTTACTTTAATCTCTGCTACTTACCAAAGCCATGCAAAAGGGGAAGGGGGAAGCAGTGCTGATTCTTTACTGTCTGACGAAGACATCGCTCGTACGTGCTATCTAGGTAGCGCAGAGCTCTCTCTCAAGCTCCAGGGAAGCAGCAGCTTTGATTACCAAGGCGTCTGCAGCAAGTGCTTGGGCTTCCCTTATTATACCCAACAAAATGGGTGTAGCCTACCTTGGGGTTTTTTTCTGTTTTGTTGAGCAGAAGGATGCTGTCTTAATTCTCCAGGTTCTCTGGAGGTATGGCAAGGTATCTGCCATCAGTTTTCCAGAGTGCTGGAGGAAGGAGGAGAACCATGTAGGACAAGAGGTGGCTCACTGTGAAGCTGTAACATGACCATGTGCAGGTGATCAATTTTTTTTTTCATTGGCTGGACATGGTTGTTCCCTTTATGTCAGAATAGAGCAGAAATCCTGTTCTTAGTGAGCTGCTGTTGCTATCGCCCCTTTCTATCTTGGTGGCAGCAGTTTAGAGTGTTCTGCTGGGCTGGACCTGGGCAGTGTCGATCCACTACTATCTCTGTAACTCCTCTATAATGTTTGCCCATTACTTTTGTAACTTCCCACCTACTACACACAAGCAGCCCTGTACCCACTGCATCCTTACAGGGAATTCAGAGAACAATCTTCAACCTGTCAAGCCTGTCAGTCCTCTGAGGGATGTTAGCAGTGTCCTGGAGAAGTCAAATCTTCTGTACGAAAGATCTGTGTCTCCTGGAGATCACAGTGGCCAGACGTGTGTACATTTGCTATATTCTCCATGGTCATCACCACATTGCAGCTGCAACCGTTCCTGAGCAAAGGAGTTTTCCACACTTCATGTTGCAGTGGAAGATGAAAGAGGGATAACTTGTGTTTTTAATAGCCACTATTGAATAAATGAGCATATTTTGTTTCATTGTCATTCATGTCCCATTTAACAGATCTCAGGACCTCAACCAGGTGAACAGGAACATTTCTACTCTGAAATGTAAGTAAGTGTGGATTTAGGTTGGTTTTTTGTAAAGAAAAATTAGTCCATGATCTGTAAGAGGAAATGGTTGTGCTTCTTGTTCAGCCTTGGTTTAGGAAATGTATAGTCAAAGACAACAGAATTGTCCAGGCTATGGGAGATGTCTTAGAAACTTCAGGATATGCTGCCTACCTTGGAAGCACCTCATCTCCTACCTCAAATGGCATGCAAGCTGAAGGTGTTTTGATTTTCTTTGTATAATGATTTTGTTTATATAAATTTAATTGCCATGAAAGTATAACTGTTGCTTTTGAGTGAGGAATATGTAGTACCAAATAAATGAAGCAATTTTGAAAGCTGAAGGGCAAAAATAGTTCAGTGTCTTGAATTCTAAATATTTGCTTTAAACACACAATGTTATTTTCACGTTGTAATAGATAGTGTCAGAAGGGTGATGCTTATAGAGCTGTATAGAAACATCTTAGTAGAGAAGGAGAGGTGTTGCTTTCTACAATAGAAAAAAATAGCTGTTTTTCCTAAAGCTGATGGTTGGTTTTTTTTTCTTCTGCTTTGTTAACCTACTAAAAGGCACTGCTGTTCTGCAGAAACATTTCCTTTAGTTTACTAAGCTATGAGTTTCAAATAGAAATTCAACATAAGGAATGGCTAAGTATGTAACATCCAAATTGGTTCTTAACTTGCAAATAATTCCCCCAATAGCCACGTAAAGGAAAGCATCTTCTCGGGCCTGGAAAGAGTTCAACTCCAAGGCAAAATGGGCACCCAGAGGCCTGGGGATTGTTCACAACCAACAAATCCTGTAGTCCTGATCGTATGAAGCTAGTGCTGTGGTATTGATGTAACGTTTCCATAATGAAAAATATCAATTTTATTTTACCTCCCATGCTTCTCTCTGTAGCCTAAACAAAACAGGTGGAGCTTGAGAAAAGGCCAGGACAGATTTCTGTCACTACAACAGTCGATCTTTCTAGTAAAAGATGTTTGGAGGTCTGCCACATCTGCCTTTCTCATATTAACATACCTGGCTGGAGTCTTGGTTCTTTGTAGGTGTTGAGTGCAGTCACAGAAGCTGATTTTTTTGCATGATGCAAAGAATTAATGTTAAAAAAAAAAAAATTAAAGTAGAAGGGAAACAACCCCCCACCTCCTCTCCTGGTAATAAAAATTAGAATGCATGCTTCAAGTTTATTTTTTTTTCTGTTTAATTAAGTAATTGTTTAGAGAACAAATCTTAAAAGTTCTGGAGAAGGTTTTACTACTGTCAGCAGGTACAGTGGGGAACACTGAATTTATTCATGTCTGAGTAGCCTGTTATCTGTATAAGAATAGCTGAAATGATTAAACTTAACTAATACCGCTGTAAGTAGAAAGTCATTTTACTCTCTCAGTTGTGTAGGAGCCAGCATCACAGAAAGCTCAGCAACAGAACCGTAAGGGTAAAACCGTATTCTATTTTATTAACTCTCCCAAACACACGAAATACTCTTCTGTTAAAGATCCCTGTGCAAAAGCAATTCAGGGCACAATGTTTTTCTTCGGATGTTAGGTTTATATACTCTTTAGGGAATGCATATTTTGTTACACTGGGGAAGACAGACACACGCTGCCTTTTTTTCCTCATCAAGAGAATTCAGAGTGAATTTTGTGTTTGTAACAAAGTTTTGCCTTTTAAAGCTATAAATAGAGCCCCAGTGGGCTCCCCGGGAAGTCGTTTTGCAGTGGATCGGGCTTCCCCGCGGTCCCGCCGCCCCAGCTGTCTGCTCTCGTCAGTCCCCGGCTCCATCCGTCCCCAGGCACAGGGCGCAGTAAATACTGCAAACCCTAGTCATCGCTAAGAATAAACCTTTCGACAACAACAGCCTCTGTCAACCTGAATCACCCTGGGTTCTGGTTTGGGAAAATGACCCAGCTAATGACTTCATGTTAGATGCTCTATATAAGTCGAGGAAAAAAACAGGCGTTCGCAGACCGCACAGGCTGGATTTAATCAAAGCCGGGAAACGACCTCGGAAGGGATTACGGTCGAGTGAGCACCGCAGTTATGTCACAGGTACGGGGAGACCTGGATGAGGCTGGCGCTCCTTAGAGCAGGGTGCCCGACAAATGTGTTACTGTTTTAGACGGTTTGCTTGGAATAGCTTATTAGCAAGTTACTCTCGTTAACCAGTGAATTCGGCTTCTCTGCTCTATGTGACTTGTTTGATTATGTTTAAGTATTTAAATGCTCTGTTTATATATTTTAACAAGTAAGTTAGGAGGGGTTATTTGATGAAGGAAAGCAGCTGCCCTCTACATGGTTAATTTAGTTTGAAAATGTTCTGTTTTACCATAAATATTTTTATTTCTGTAGGAAGGGAAAAACCATTTCCACTGCTCTGGTTTGGGATGTTTCACAGAAGGAGTGATTTCTGCTTTTCCAACATGCTTTCTCAGACAATGATTTGAAGTTTTGGCAGTAGTTTTGAAAGGATGTGGCTGTACTCAAGTGTGCTGCTGTGCAAAGCTTAATGTATTAACATGCAGGAAAAGAGAGAGCGTGACTGAAAATTATAACTGTTAGGATACAATATTTGAGACTGAAATTTTGTATTACACACTTTTATGTTCATTTTGTAACTAACGGTTGTCTTTACTGTGTTCCCCAATAATCAGTGTTTCAAAGTGATCTTAAATTAGCTCAGAAATTTTGAGGTTTTCACGTAAGTGTTATGTTTTCAACACAAGCTATGTGTGCCTGGCAGAGTTCTCCCCAGTGTGAGAGTTTTTTCCCTGGTGGGTGGGATGGACAGTAAGAACACGGGGAGGGTAGAAGAGCACAATCCTCAAATGACATAGAATAACTCAGTTCAGCTTATTTTCTTTATTCCAAAGAAAAAGAGACTTAAAAAACCAGTCATATGTCTTGTAAACCAACACTTTTTGACTTGTGACAGGAGGAGATAAAGCGCAGGCTGCACTGCTGTGCCAGCTGGGAACGGCTCCTGGCAAGCCCTGCTTACAAACGTGCTTGCGTTGGGAGCAATTAACAGTGTGTGGCCGCAGCGCTGGCAGCTACTGGTGCTGGCGGGTCCAGGACTCACCTCTGTGGCTCATAGTAACCTCTCTGTGCAGTATTTTTCCTTTTTAGCTGGGGGCCAGCTAATCCACAGCAGCTGTCCCACTGGAAAATCCACCTGTAATCAAGCATGAGAAGTTTTATTTTAAAATAACTGGGTGAAATTCAACCGTTCTGCTCAGCCTGGCTGTGTCTCGGTGCATCTCAAGTGCCTCCTTTCCTTACTCCATCCCCAAGAAGTCCCTTGTCCCGGTGGAAAGAAGCCCTTGCAGTTATCGTCTCTTGCCAATAATGGGTGAAGGACCTTAGCAGGTTTCATATTCCTGTCAACAAAACAAGGGTTTTTTTCCCTTTCTGTGTTGGAGCCAACACAGGTTGTATTGGTTGCATGTGGACCATGCCATGGGCATGGGGGACTGTTCCCACCACATGCCAATTTTCATTACAGATGGGCAAATGAAGCCCTGGCTGTAGGGATGTTTGGTTAACCAGCTAACCGAACAAAAGCTGTTGTGAATTTTGAAGGGTTTGCTACCACCCTTTCCCTTTGCTTGCTTTGGCTACTTGTAGAGTGTTTTCCCCAGAGGTCTTGCAAATGTTTTGTTTCCCACAACACATGCGAATGAGATTGACAGCGAGCTATTCTGAGCGTTCCCGGGAATTTACAGCCAGCAGGAAACATGCCGAAGGCTCCAGTGCAGCCAGCCCGCCCCTGCCCGGAGCCAGGCCTGCACGCGCTGTCTCTGCAAGCTCCCTGGGACTCGCTGCTCCAGCCATTCGCGGGCCTCGAGGGATTTGTTTCCCTCCACAACTGTTTTTAGCTTTACAAGCAGTGGCCTAGAAACGTACAAGTGGGCTCCACCGCTGCCAAAATCCAAATATCAGAAGCCCTACATATTGTAGTGACAGTCAGAGAAGTTTCTCATTGCTGGTTCAGTGTGCAAATCTGTTGGCCTATGTGGGTCTTTTATTCTTTTTAATCGCATCTCCTGTGCCCCTGCGCCCTGCCGCGAGGTCTGCTTGGTGGGACCTTGGCAATCGGTCCTTGAAATAGTAAACTGAAGAGGGAATGTTAATTGTGCCGGCTGCTGCTGGTTGACATTGTGACTGACTTTGAAGTGCTGATTTAAAGCTGGGGTAGGCTGATATGATCCCATGTTACCCTGGTTGTCTTCTAGCAGGATAAACTGTAAACAGATTAGTACTTGGACGTTCCAGTGCACCACCTGATGATGCATCTGTTTCTACGTTAGCTTTCCTTCTCCTTCTTTGGGTTCTGAGTCCGGGGTTTCAGGTGTGTTCAGTACACACTTGTAGACAACCCTGTTGAGTGCTCAGATACTTTTGTTCCCTACATTTAAGATCAATAACTATGGGTCAAGTGTTAAGTTTATTCCAACTAAGTCAAGCCAGATTTCAGAATCTCTCTGACCAATTTCCTAAAGAAGTAGTGCATAGACTGAGGCACAAGCACAATTTAGTAATTAAGTTTTTTTCCTTCCCAAACATTGGACAGATTCTTAAATTAGCAGACTGTACTTGCAAAAAGGGTCAGGCAAGGCTGTACGGAGAAAATTTAAAAGTAAATAAATAATAATAAATATAAACAATCCAATGTCTCTTTCAAAGGCTGTACAATCAGAAGACAATTTCAGAACAGTAATAGTAGCAACAGATTTTGAGCAGTGAAATCATGGTTGTGCAAAGATCTGGAGTAGCTGAGTGTGCGGTCTCAGAATTGAAATAGGTGGAATATTGTATTAGCAACCTCAGTGTGTTAAGGCAGCTTTGTTCCCTATGCTTCTAAACACAAAATACTGATGCATGGGCAATACATCTGTTTCTTAGCCAGCCCCTGTGAAAAAGAAGCGTCCTCCAGTGAAGGAAGAAGACCTCAAAGGAGCCAGAGGAAACCTTTCCAAAAACCAGGAAATTAAATCCAAAACCTACCAAGTGATGAAGCAGTGTGGTAAGTCTCCTTGATGGAAACAACTAAGCAGTCTTCCAAAGTAAAACATTGATTTAATCGCCTTTTTCAAGTGAAAGGGTGCGCCTCTGAAACAGCAGCCAGCAGTATGCTCACCGACCCTGGCCTGGCTGTGCAGGGACTTTGCATCCGTCATGATGGCACCTAGAGGTGCCAACAGGGCTCTGCTTGGAGTGATCGTTCTCCATGCCTGGACAAAGCAGGAGGGAGAGCCCTGACTTTGCCTTCTGAATCAGGGTTCAAACCAAGCCCTGGGCCCACAGCCAATCTCAATGACTGCCCAAGTTGAAGATTGGAGGCCTGGTCATAGATTAGGGGACTTCTGGCCTCTTGGTTGGATGAATCTGATGTGTTCGAGATGAAGTAGAAATTGTGGGGGATAAAGGGCAGAAGGTGAGAGAGGAGAGAGTGGCTGCTTGCACTGAACATCCCTGGTGCTCTGGTTTTGTGTTGCTTTTCCACCACCAGTGGGAGGGTATAAGGAAAAATGATAAATTTTAACCCCTTTTCAGCATAATAGCCTGGACTTCAGTAGTTTCCAAGTTTCTAAAGCACCTGCAGGGATTTGGGGCCAGTCAATGGCAGTGACCACCTACAGGTGCTGTCAGTTGCCCCGTGCTTAGGATGGGAATGCTGTGCTTTAAGGTTTGGGAAGTTGATGGATGGATGAAATATTTATCAAATGCGTATATATGTATTTCAGCAGCACTAGTTTTACTCCCCGAATTTGGTGTGCTACTTCACTGATTACTTCTCCTGGTTTTCTTTTCTAAGAACAAATGGGCTCTGCAGCACCCTCCATATTCAGCCGGGATCGGACAGGGGCTGAAACAGTCTTCGAGAAACCGAAAGAAGAGCCAGCAAAGAGCGTCTTTGGCTGACAGCGGAGCTGGATGTGTCTCACCCAGACGATTGTTGTAACATTTTCCCAAATTTCTGCCCCTTTTACTAAAGTCACTGTAGATCTAAGTAGCTAATTTCTACTGTAAGGCACTAAATAGGGAATAGACTCACGTCAAAGGGTACAACTTCCATGTTAATTTTTATTATGTGCTTTCTTTCTATGTGTTGAATGGTGTTTGCTATAATGGTTTAATAAAAAAAGGTTGTTGGACACAGCTTGGCACACTGTGGTGATTAATTTCAGTTTAGGCTTAGATTAATTCTGTGGCCACTTCAGCGTTACAAGCTATGACCTAGTCTGTCAAACGCAAAGAATAAACATCCAGATGACACAGTTCTAGTGTCCGTGCAATTTCTTCACGTTGTGCCCTCGCCAAGCGTGAGCTGAGGAGGAGCTGGTCGAAGGGATGTCACAGAAACCTGGAGACTTCACCCAAATCTGTGCTGGCTGCAGGGGTGCCCTGGCGAGGCCCCTCAGGGCTGGGCTGTGCCACAGGGCGGTGGCCCCCCCTCAGGGCTCTCCCCGCACGGCCTTCCCCTCATATCTCCCCCGTCAGGGCTCCCTCACAGCCCCCAGGGCAGCAGCACCGTGGTTTCCCCACAGGCGGCTCTGCTGGGAGGCAAGATGCCAGGCTGTCAGTGTGCCCCAGCGCCAAGGGAGGGCTTTCAGCCCATTCCCCAGTGGCCTTTTCCTCACATCCTCGAGGTTCTTTTGGATCACGTGAGAAGTGGGTGACAGACTGGCAGTACAGGCGCCATGTCCCTCCCGACTGAAGAGCCGAATGACCCGCTGAGTCTCTCTGTACAACAGCAAACCCACTACGAGTGGAAGCTGGTTTTCTGCAACATCTTGATTTGCTGCATTAAACATGAAACGTGTTTTCCCCCAAGGTTAAAAATTGGAGTACGCCCCCTCAGCTGGATCTTTGTGCTCACAGATTATCCTCTGCTTTGTTGGCAGCTGCCGCGCTTCGCTCACACGCCGAGTCCCTGGCAGCACGTCCAGGGACAGTGAGGTAGGTGCCACCTTTATTTAAAGAATTACTTTAATTTTGCATAGTCTAGACCTGATTGAGGTAAAAGTGATATCGAAGGTCTCTGTGCACCGTGAAGAATATCACCTTTGCCTTTTGCATCCCAAACACTTGATGGATAAAATGTGCTGATGTCCACAAAGCTCCCAGACAGGCTGAGGAGTGGGATGTGCATAAGGCAGCAACAAATCCTCTGGGTTTAAGGGGGAGGTTTCCTTAAAAAATTAAAGATATTACTGATGCGTTGCCCTGCCCCATTTTTTTTACTTTCAAAGATTATTATTTGCAGCCAAGACCCTGCCTCCTCTCTCTGCTGGACACTATTTCTCCGTGAGGCCTGGGCTCCTCACAGGTAACTCAGCACAGCCTTTTCCTCTGAGAAAGACCCCTTCCAGAGCTTTGAAGGTAAAAACAAAACAAAACACAGTGGAAAAAAGTTCCCACCCTGATAACACTGGAGTTGTCCCTGCGTCAGGTTTAACCCTCCCTAATCTGTGATGAGAAGTTGGCAGGAGGTTGTTTAATAGAAAAATGAGAGAGGGACAAGTGGGGCAAAATGTTTTTGTAACTTTCTTTTGTATGATACAAGTGACTGAATATTGCAAATTTGCTAGCCTGGGTAGCAGGAGCAGGGGGTGCTGTATTTCAGACCTGGCTTTGGGTATGTTGGTGCTGATTTAGCAAAGCACAGAAACCTCTGTGCCCCACGGACTTGCAGCGCGGATGCGGCAGGGAAGCAAAGTAAGTTATCTACCAGAAACTTGGGATTTTGCTGACAGCTCTATTTCCACGATGTCCTCAGGTTCAACTATTTGTCATGCTTCCCAGTGTGACAGTAAGTACTCAGGACCAGGGATCTTTTTTTCCTTTTCTGTCTTTTAAGATGGACCTCATCTGAGAAATACGCATTGGAGGTAAAAGTGTATTCTTGGGACAAAGTCGCTCCCCATTTGTGACAGCAAGGTCTGTGCTCTCCTGTATGAATTGCAGGAATCCTCCCCTGTCCCCAGCCTTGCTGCTGTGCTGGAAAAGTTACTGGCTGCTGCTGCAGGACAGGAGATACTTGTGAGAGGTGATACTAGGTGAGAGGAACAAATATAAAGCTGCCTGGAGAATTTTTTGTCATCTCTTTCTTCATCCTTGTGAATCTAATGTCCAGTCATGGAAAATGCATTTTCTTCCTTTTTTTCCTCATTTTCATAAAGAAATATAGTGACAGAGAACTGTCTGAGCAAAGCCCCAGGGCCTGAGTTTTTAAGTCATTTTTCTCTCAAAAGTATCTCTTCTTGTCGTGGTGGATTTAGATCCTTCCACCAAGGTGCTCTGAAGTAATTTCGCAGCGTGTTCATTCCTCAGAGTAAGAAGCACTGGGTGCTGCAGGATTGGTGCCCAGTGCGCCAGCAGCAATGGGTACTGGACACCAGCAGGGATGGCTGTTGTTGGCAGCTTGTACAGAAACAGGGCAAGGTGCTCGAGTCTGGGCACAAGGCTGAGCATGAGATTTTCCTGTAGCTGCTTCAGCAAGCCACAAAGGGATGCAGGAGGGATTGCACAGCTTCCCCGGGTGCTGGCTGGCTCCGTGCGCCCAGGAGCGGGGCAGAGAGCCATCCACGCAGCCTCAATCTGTGCAGTTAAAGCAGCTCTTTAAGGTCCATGTGATTTTACATGTGGGTATTAGATAACCGATGACAGATCCACTTAATTAAAGCTAAAGCTTTGGCTCTTGGGGATCTTAGGCCACTAAGTGTATAATTGTGTGCATTTTAAGGGATTAAAGCATTACACAAGTTGTAGAAGTTAATCAAATGTATAGCAGCTGCAATTTTTCTCTGTTAAAATATATATATATTTACATGTCCTGCTGTAAACAATACAGTAGTCTAAACAGTCTGCCTGGAAGAAGTGAAGTTTATTTTTTAAAAAGTTATTTAAAGCACAAGCCTTGTAAGACCAGGCTGTGCTCAACAGACTCTTTATGGTGAACTTGTATATGTTTGTTGAAGTAATAAATTATTGAGCCCTGCATTAGCGTCTCCTTGCAAATCCAAGGCCACTGGAAGCATGCTCTCCTCCTGGACGCTTTGTCTGTAAAATAGCCATGAAGCAAACACAGATGCATGTATTTCCACAGGTTCTTTGTGTTAATTTAAGACAATGACATCACCTACCATGGAGTTATAAGGGGAAAAAAAAAATCTGTCAGAAAGCAATATGCAAAAGTGGTTTGGTGTGGACAGACTGCAGGTCTGGTTGAGAAAGGGCTCTCTGCTATCCTGGAGCTGCCAGCCAGGGCGGATGGGCAGGGAAATCATGGTGGGAGGGCAGCATTCAGCCTCCATCTGCTCAGGGCTGAGGGGAGAGGGGGTCTTTCTGGATTGCATCTCTCCACAACGCCAGCTGGTTGCACATTAATGTACCTGTATATACATGTGTGTGTATAAATATATATAGGAACCAGGGGCTGACACAGCAGTTACACGTCTAAGACATCCTCTGAACTACAGGCCTGGGGATGTTATTTTTCCTGTCCTGCTGATATTTTCAAGATTTTAAACATATTTTTTTTTTCTTGCACTGGAAATGAATGAACAAATGAAGCCCTCTGAAAGCTTTCCAATAAAGCAAGCAAGCCCTGGACATGTGGCGTAGGAATGGCTTGTGACAGTTTGCTTCCTGACCCCCATTTCTCACCTTGATTTCCCCAGTTGTAGAGCTGAGGAGATGAACATTTGAAATGAGTTCTGCCCAAGGTCTGTTTACCCCACTGCCTAGAAAAAACAATTATTTCCCCACAATGTGTTTAAAATGCTTTGTAGAAGAGGCAGAAGTTACAACTGCTCGAATAGAGCAATATCTTCTAAATAGTCATGCGATCTGTCTTGTGTCAGGAGACTACCTAAACACCACATGAGTGAGCATGTATTTTAGGAATTATGTTAGTATAACACTGTCCATAATTATTTGTGTATAAATTGGACTTTTCAGAGAATTTCTTTTTCCAGGGCTACAAGCCAACCCTTGACCAACAAAAACTTCGCCGGAACTGCTCAAAGTTCCTGTTGGATGAAGATTTTATTATAAAATAGGAGGTGAAAAGAGTCGTCCCACTCAGTTGCCACATAAATTTGGGTGCAGAGCTCTCCCAGCACTAACCTTTTGGGCAAACAGCCCCGCTGAGCACGCGGGTTAAAGGCAGCTTTGCAGAATCCCTGTCTGGATACGTCACAGCTCTGTTACGGCTGCACAAGGCCAGATGTGCTCCCATGCGCGACTGTTGTGCTCATTTTTGGGTGGTTTGTGTCTTCTTTGTACGCTTGCATATGCGTACATACAGGCACTGACTTAGCACCTCTCTCCCTAGGAAGTCCAGGCAAGGTCTGATTACTTTGTTTTTACTGTTTAGCTAAAGACTAGCCACAACTGACTTTGCTATTTGACAAACAAGCCCAACCCCTCATGGGCTGGTTGGGCAGGGAGGCACAAGGTTTGAAGAAGTCACCAGCTGTAAAATCTTATATAAAAGTTGCATGTCTTGGCAATCTCCAGATCTCTGAAGTGCTTGAGATAATGTTAAGGATGTGCCCTTTCAAATTATTACTGTTGGATATGGTGGAGATTCATGCATCCAAAAATGCAGCTTGTTGCACAGACCAGTTCATCTGCCTGTGGGATTTTACGTGCCACAGTGAGATCTAAGTTTAAAAAGAAAACATAAGGATTTCTTAACTCTGTGTTATGAAACATTAAAATTCTAATGTTTAACAGCAAAGACCTGATGGAAAAACAAACATTAACCAAGTCCAAGTTTTACCTATGTTTAACATGTAAATATTAAGTTTCTGGGTCTCTTCAAAGTCTACGTAATATCCCCAAATACAAGTTACTCATTAACTGATTAAGATAAACGGAGTTTTCATTTGAAAATCTTGTCTTTCCAAAATGGAGGAGAGAACATTGCTCGCATTGATGGTCTTTTCCTCACTCGTAGTATTAGCAGAAACTATTGCTCAAAAGGTATTTGCTCTATTATTTTTTTTTTAACAATGTCTTGTTTGCTCATTTGGTGATCCGGTGGTATCACGGTAGCTG